TCCGCGGCAGTCGCGTGCCCATCTTCTCCAGTCAGCTCCTCTTCATTGAACCTCGTTAGAGCGATACAGCATCGTATTAATTTCTTGCATTTTTCACAACCCCACGCCGTTGCCACGTCTTTATTTTTTTCTCGGCGCGGGGGATCGAGCTCACCCTCCGCGGAGTTTCTCTCTGCACCGAAAAAAAAGGGAAGTCTATATTTAACATTCTGGAGGTAGAAAAAGTATGCGGAAACTTACGAAATACTGAATTACCAGCTATGTCATTTTTCATTTTCATTTTTCAAAAGTGCCATCTCTGACCAGGAGATACTCCGAGATACCCAGCATGTAAATTTGAAAAGCATAAAATGTTTGCTCTTATGATTTTTTTGATGCGGTGACTAGTTTCTGAGATATCGGACACCATAGATTCAACGCTGAACTCCTGTGAGTTGAAATCTCTAGTCATATGAGTTGGCGAAAACTGGATGGAGAAATTCTGCTCATATGAGTTAAATTCTATTCATATAAATTGAAATTCTATGAATATGAGTTGAAACTCTATTCATATGACTTTGATTTTCTACTCATTTGTACTCACCATTTTTAGCGGGGAACTCCCTTCGGTATCGAAGAATTGAGGGAAAATGTCGTATCAATGCTGACACAAGCGATTCGTTGAATAAAACGAAATTTTGTTCCACCGAGAACCGTCCATCTCCGCCGAGCAGTGTCATATTGCTTGAACTGTCCTTTCATTTGAGATATTCGCTCAATGCAGCTAAACTCTGATGGGGTGGACGACTTGACGTTGAGCTGGAAAAAAAAGTGTTAGATTGCAAATATCAACAATTCCTTGATGGACGTGTGCTCTTGCCCAACCCTTCAACTGTATGTAAAACCGATCACCAGAGCTGCTGTGCTAAGGAGAAACGCCGTATGAACATTCCAGAGCTGCCAAATTTCCTCTCAGGAAATAGTTATTTTTGAGGAAAGTTATGAATATTTTTCCCTGAAATTTTCAGACTTTTTAGACCAAAGTTCGAACAAAGTCCTCCGAAAAATCGGAGGAGGAATATTCACAATTTTTTCTGAAAATTCGTTGTTTTTCGAGGGAAATTTGGAAATGCCTGATGGTTCATACAGCGTTTTTCTTTAACAAGGCAGAGAGAGCGGTGATGGCATCATTCGAATGCATTTTCTATAAATCCAAAAACGACTGATCTAAAAAGAATAATAGAGAGACATTACATTTTGAAGGATATAGAAAAATAACTAAGTAAAGTTGAAGTAAAAATGGTGAAATGAAGATAAAGCTTGGAGAGGGGGCAACCGCACAGAAAGTACAGGTATACTAAAATGGTTAAATTTTCCTGTAGTAAATAGAATATCGACGCTGAAATTCCGAAACCACGTACCTCGGTTTGCGACGTTGCAGATTTCCTGTCATCTTTATTTTCTAAATGGACAACTGCTCAACGTCAATTCCAAAAACTTCCTTAGTTTTTCCTCTTGGTGAGAGGAGAACTTCGGAAAAACTTCAAGGCATGATGTCAATTTGTTCTTCTTTCAAAAAATAAAATAAGGTCTGAGATTTTTGGACATCGCAAACGAAGGTGATTCGGAAGTTTCAATGTCGATATGTATCATTTATTAAGCTCTTTACTACAAATTGAGTTTTTTAGTTTTGAAAAATTTACAGCTGCCAAAATAGAACTGTAATATCAAAAAGAGGATCTATAGGTTTTAAAGAATAGTGATAGCGGTAGAGTTGGGCAGTTTCATGATTAAAATGGTGGATAAGACGGTTGGCTGTAAATCGCATGCAACGCCTTGATGCAACTATTCGTGCTCTATGGATGCGCGTATTGCGTGCAAAAAATTGAAGGCGCGCTGGCCTTCATTCTGCTTTCAGAATACACGCGTCAACCACGCAACCCGTGAACTCCTCAGTTCGCAGAGACTAGCCAAATGCTTCAAATGTGGGGGCGTGGCAGCAACAGCCCTCCCTCCCTCCCTCTCTCCTACATATTAATTCGACTTTTATTTTTGGGAGAGGTGATTTTGCTCAATTTTAGGACATTTTTCGGGAATTCTTTAAGTTTTGCCTGTCCCTGAGAGACTTGACTGGAATTATGTCTTTGACGCAAGCAATACTGGGGGGNGGGGGGGGGGGGGGGGTGTTGTCTTAAGTCTCAGTAAAAAGGGACTCTAGTTCCTTTCTGCTAAACGCGATCCGATTCCTCTTGCGTTGGAGTGGTGTGAATCGTTTTTGAAGGCGGAGCGATTACAAATCCGGGACTTCGGCATTTATAAACTCAAAGGTCGTGAGGAAAGGCGGCCGACGGGGCTTGTAAAACACGCGTGTACGGACAGGGGCGGGCCCTAAAAGGGGAGGGGGAGCGACATTTCGCATCGAAAAACGATCACGGTTAATCGGGCCGGAGAAATCAATGACCAAAAAGTAGCGAATGAGAGCCACTTCTTCCGTCAGGAGGGTCGGAGAGGGGGAGGGGGTGGCGGGAGGGGAGGGGGTACAAAACGGGATGATTATTGTCACGCGGTGAGGCTGGGGGAATTCTGGGGGGGCGAGGGAGGTGATGCATGACAACCGCATAATTCATCTGCGTGTACGTGGAAAAGGGCATGAGGCAGAAAAAAGGAAGAACGCTGCGTCGAAAGCTCATGCGAATGTATTGTAATGTATATTAAAAAGCTTTGAATATGGGAGCCGAGGATTTGTACCCGCCGGTTCACAGGGTGCTCCCACAAACGGGCTCTGTAGCTCTATAGTCCGCGATGCCTCGACCAGCAGCACACTAGTTGCAGTGACTCTTGAAAAGCAATTTTCAAACAATCCTGAGAAACTGTTGAAATCGATGCATTTCTCGCGCATTGTGTCTAGTTTTTTTTCCAAAATATTTTTTGTACATGGGAAACTATAATACTTAATCTAATAACTAGTTATATCTATTGAAATCATTATCAGTTTTGTGCATGATGTTAATTTACTGTCCTGCTTGAATAATGAGTCGATTATAGTTATACGAAAGATGTGTGTTTTCTTATGTTGTCTATGAACCTATGTACATAATTTTTTGTCCAGTAAATTATTCATGAAGGAGCTAGTCCTTAAAAAATACCTTAAGAATCCTGGGTATTTTTTAAAAGTTGCTTAACCATGTTTTCAAATGTTCTAATTATTACTGTTAAAAGAGCACTGTAGATCTTAGCAGAGTTTCTGAGCTCTTTCTTCACTCAATTTTTACCTCTCTTTTTTACCCCAAAAAATCTTCAAAAAGGGGTTTCTTTTTACTGAAATTTTGATGTTTTTCTTTTTTAAAATTAAGAGTCGCCTCTCTTAAGTTTAAAAGTTTTATTTTACTTTACGTGTTTCTTGTTGATTTCCAATGTTTGTATATTTCGCACTTTGCTTCTTAAGATTTTTGTACCCAACTCGACGAATCTTGCTCTTGCGAGGTTTTTCCCCTCAGGGACCGAAGGGTCTTCAGCCTATGGACTGAATAGAGGGTTTTTTGGAGTAACAGCTCGCAATAGTCGCACCTTGCATTCGCAACAAAAATGAATGTTGCTTTTTACAAATAGAAACGCCTCTCTTAGTAGATCTTTGTCTGAATACCACTATAACGCCTTCAGCGGACCCGCTTTTGCCTACCTCGTCATTTGAAGGAGAACTTGAAGTTCATGTAGCACTCGAACTCAGAGCTTGACGTCAACAGGCCTGCCTATAGTTTGATCACCTGATGGACACATTTAAGTAAAGAGGCCCGCCTACCTCGAAAGTTTTGGGAATAACAGACATGCTCACTTAGTATAAGTATGTAGTTTAAAAGAATGAATGTACCTATACAGATAGGAACACGCATGAAATTGCGATTAACAATGATATATGATGTCTATAAAAGAAATAAATACAGAAGAAAACGGTGATAAGACACAATGTCCAAAAATAAATGTCCAGAGTAAAAAAAAATGGCCAATGTAAAAAAATTCCATGAGCGAAAAATGTTTAAATGTAATATGAATATGAATGTTTTTTTCCACAAAAATTTTACCTCCAAGTTTAAAGATTTTTCTTCTTCTTTTTTTCCCCTTGTCATTCTATTTTGGTCCGTGTTTCCGTATACTTTTAGTCTCTCATGGTCAGGGTGGCATTAAACGTATTCAGTGAAATATTTCATGAAATTTCACGAGGTTCTGAAATATTTAATATAATTCAGGGGCTAGAGTGTGCAACCCGCACTCAAACGCACATAAAAAAAAGAGAGTCACAATTATTTTTGCATTTTGCGAAACATGAAAAGGAATTCTGAAATTTCAAGATTATATTTTTCATGCAATTTTGCCACCCTGAGAATGGTGTATCGATAAAATAGTGGATAAAAATAAAATGATAATTTGAGAATCCAAAAGAATGGTAATTCTACCCCTCTTTTTCTTCGTCCTTTTACCCTTTAAACACTTTCAATGCGTGAAAAATTCTGGAAAAGATTCCCTGTCCGAATTTCCTCACGAGTTATATGTAGTCTTGACACTCTCTAGAGTCCAAATTTCTCTCCCTAGTATTAGTGAATCAGTCTGACGTCAGGCTACGTTTCATAAACTACCCTAAGTCAGCCTGATTCAGGCTGATGTCAGACTGATTTCAGACTCAGGGTAGATAATGAAACATAGCCTGACGTCATGCTGATTCACTTTTACCAGGGAGAATCCAAATTCAAGATAGGGCGGTCCCATTTTCGGGGATCACCCCGTACACACCCCGCGGGCCCGGGGGGGAGGGGGGGGCGAGCCGGAGCGGTCGGGATTTGTCTTATTGCGCAGATTGCCCGGATGAGGCGGAGGGCGGAAGGCGGGCGGGGGCGGGGCGGGGCGGCGGTCGTCGCGAGTGAGACGCTGCGCCACCCCCTCATTCGCCACCCCCTCATTATTACAACATTCAATCCGCAATCCACTCCGCCCGACCGCGCCTTCCACCTTGCCCGGATCCTCCGAGTCACTCACCACCTGTTAGCCGCCGCGGTCGCGCGCCCAGTGCCGTCCGCATCCGCCTGTCCACGGATCCGCCACCCCCGCCCCCCGCAAGACCCGCCACCCCCTCAGCGCCGGCTCGCGGTAAGTCACACCTCGCCTTCCTCTTCCTCGTCTTAACTGTCTGTCTTTAACCTTTGCGCCCTCTTAATTAGCCGCGGCTCCTCAACTGTCGACCGCTCGACTTCTAGCACCCCCGAGGGATCCCATCCAGTGTCCTTGCGCTTGGACTAGGTAAGGATTCAAGGGTGGTTTCACGATGACTGGAATAGTTTTGTCGCCGTAACAGACAACATATCTTTTGGTCATATTTTTAGTAGAAATGGATTACATTTTGCAATAAGGAACCACTATCTTTGGCTCTTCCACAGAAGCATCTTTCTGCATAGGGAAACCGACGGCATATAAATTGTTTCTAAAGTGAGCCAGGTCTAGTGATTCCTTATTGCTAAATGTGATTCAAATGATAATCACTCGATTTTTTCGCTTTAATCTTCAAGAGGTTACGTATTATAACGCTTTCTTATGATTTTTGCTCTACTTCTCAATTAATATAATGTAAATTCCGAAAATGTGCTGTCTGTTACGCGGTAAAAAGTCGGCGTACCAGACAGTACATTTTCGGTCATTTATATACTAAAATTGAAAATTAGAGCGATAAATCTTTGAAAATCGTTAAAGTACGTAACCTTGTGTACATTAATGCAAAAAAATTCGAATGATTATCATTACTACTAAAAATAAGACCGAAAAATGTGTTGTCCGTTACGGCGACAAAACTACCTATTCCAGTTATCGTGAAACCACCCTCAAGCACTCTTCATGGAAAATAATGATAATGCTGATTCGATCATTTTTAAGTTAGGAAAAGTGTCCGGCGTGTTTCAATGTAGATTTCACAATTAAAAAATGCTGATTCACACGCAAAAAATAGTCGGTGCTTATGATAGAACTTTTTGTTCACAGGGCTCCTGCATTTTCTTTGGTGAACTTGCACAGATCTTTCTGTTGTGAGATCAGAACTTCAGTCGTGAAGACAGAGCACTCTGTCCTCATAACGAAAACTTTTGTAGCTGTAACAAATATAGTGCAAGAGCACAAGAACAGAACTATTTTTCAGTGTATCCACCCCCCCCCCCCGTGGTGAAATTAGCTTTCCAATATTGTAAATTGCACATGTGAAACATGTCGGGAACTTTTTTACTTACAAAATTGCTAAATCAGCATCCTCATTTTTTCCGTGTCATACATTTCCTCTCATCAAATTTTCCCGCAAAACACATCCAAATGAATTGACAATCTTCAAAAATAATTTATAGGTAGGAAATTAACGTTCAATGTTCACACCTGCACCAGTGCTAAATGCAAACTTCTAGCTACCGGAAAAAACCAAAATCAACGTAGAAAATGGAAATTATTACCGTTCATGGTTTATTTCAGAATCAGTAAATTCAAACTTTCCGTTTCCGATAAATTAAAACCCCCGAAATAAACGTAAAAGTGAGAAATTAACGTTTGAGGTTTAAATCAAAACCAGGGGTTCGATTAGTTCCCGGGGGACCTCGCGCCTTAATCGTTATGCATTGAGAGTTACACTTATGATTTTTTAGTATAGGGTAAGATTAGTAAATTCAGACTTTCTGCGCCTCTGAAAAAGTTATCGAAATCGGCTTTGCTCTTCGTAGAACCTATTCTGATGTTTGGTAAATAAAACGGAGCATATTTTTGCACAAATCTTCTTTATAATTTGATGCACATAGCACTTCGCAAGGTATCTAGAAAAAATTCACACATCTAAGAAAATTATTTCATGGTGAAGCACAGAGGTATTAAAGCTGAGTGTACAATTTGGCTGTAGTAGACTTTGCTTTTTTGACAAGCAGAAAATTCAAATTTTTGGATACAGGAACCGCTAAGTCCTCGCTTACACGTTGATTTCGTAAATTTTGAACGTCCCCATATCCACCTTGCTCTCCGCAAAAATTTAATAAGGAAACATTTGCGTATTAATGCTTCATTTCTCACCTTGTCAGATGGTTCATTCGACAAAAGATCCCTGGCTTAAGTCTACAAGGAACGATTAACACTGCCAGTCGATTCAATTCTCGGCGTTAAGATAATGTTGAGTCATTGTAATCTGTAGTTGTTAGAACGCTCAGAATGATTTTTTCCCACATTTACCGTCGTAAGATGCTGCAAAAATTTTGCCGCAAAATAAAATTATTCTCTCTTATCAATCTACTTCAAGGTTCACGAAATTTCGATTTCTGCAATGGTGATACCTAATGACGTGTTTTTTACTCCCGAGGTTTTTAATGTTTGGGCAGTCTCAAAGGAATAGACAAGTTTTAGGAGATTGGTAATAAAAAATAATTTTATTTTGCTGCAAAATTTTTGAAGCATCCTACGACGGTATATGTGGGAAAAATTTCATTCTGAGCGTTCTTCATTGCTCTTCCCCTTTCAAATGAACTTGAATTAGGTACAATATTTGTCTTTTACGTAAATGATAATCATTAAAGAATACGAGGATGTTTTCTGCGCAAAGGCCCAGATACGTTGTTGACAAATTCGAGGAAAGCCAGAAATAGAGTCACATCAAATCTTCTATTGATCTTTGAATTTCGCGGAAAATGTCAAACTTGTCATATTGCCTCTTGGCACCTTGACTTTGTCCTCTTGGTGGCATGTCATTTTTTCTAAAACATGATATCCTATTGCAAGTTTTCCTGATACTTTTTTCCTACTCGTTTTTTGTCCAATCACAGTTAGTCCTGCGAGTGAGATGTCCCACTGGCTTTTTTCCTAGGAGCATCTGTCTTAAATTCAATTTTAAAAAAAAAACAACATAGGTACCTTACAAGTTAAAGTTGTGGTCGTATGGTCGCAAGTAGTGGAGCTTCATTCTCTTCCTTATATTGAGGGTATAGAAGGCTCCGATTGTACTGTCTCCTGTTCATGCACGCGCTTATATTCGACGCGCTAAGGAAATTTTACACTTTCTGAATCATTTCCCTCCGCTCTCCTCATGTTTACATTTCAATTATTATTGAATTATTGGGACAAACACCCTTAGGAAAAAAACCAGTGGGAAACCTCACTTGTAGGACTTACTGTAATGGGACAAAAAACGAGCAGGAAAAAGGTATTAGGAAAATCTAATGTTGTAAGAAAAAATTAGGAAAAATGACCTAGCTCCATCTTCATCAAGTATAAATTATAATGAGAAACTACGAGACACAAACAACTTCGCGCTAGGAAAGTCAGTGCGCCTTCATTTTCTTCTCATGCAACACGGGCATCCTTTGAGTGCGAATAGTTGCATCTAGGTGATGTTATCAACGCAGGGTCCTAAACAAATGAAACACATTTTCCAATAACACACCAATATATCTGACTGGGCTATGAAAGCAAGTATGTCATAAGGGTGCTAATGTTTCTTGGGTTATCTTTAAAATGATCCAGAACTGGTGGCCTCATTGCAAAATGTACTCAGTCCAAATGTTGGACTGTCAGCAATGAGATGGTACTCACTGAGCGGATGGAACGCTTTTTGCTCTACAATTATCTTTTGTACCTGAAAAAATGAAACGCTTCTCTTTAATTTCTTTTTAAAATGCGAGAATAATATTGTGAAATTTGTTGAGATTAATTCTTTTTACAGACATGGCGCAACTTTGTTTGCTTCTTATAAAGTTGATTCTGAGCAGTCTTTCTCCATTTGAAATTTTAAAATTGAAAATGGGACACCTGACTCACTAGACTTCCTATTAGTGAATCTATTCACAAGGAAAATTGGGCAAATTGCACGAAGTACCTATCTTCGAATAGATGGCGAAGCCAAAAAAACGTACAATGTTCTGCTAAGTTTCAGATTTACGGACTTATTTTATTTTTTAAAAGACAACTCATCATCGGCGTTACCTACTCTGAATGTCGTGGGAGCTATTTTGCCCCCATAAATTATTTTCAGAATCCATAAAAATCAGGTGGTAACTGTCCCCCCAAACTAAAACATGAACGAAGAATTTGAACCATCGCGATCAAGGGTTTTTATTGTTTAACTTCTGTTTGGTTCCCCTAATTTCAATTATTATTGAAGAAAAAAAATTATCATCGAAGAAATAATTTAAAAAAATTCAAGGAGAAGCCAGTCCATTTCGGCTGTTGTGCGGAAGAATAACTCTTAATCTCTGTTTTGGGGTGATTTTTTCTCGTTACTTTTGTATTCGCATAACGGAACCTAAAACAGGCACAGCAATGCATTGTGTAGACGTTCGAAAAAAACTCAGAATTTAGTATGGTGAGGAATTATAAACTAACGTCAATGGGGCACGATGCTCTTGTATATTTCAGGAACCCTGCAATGGCAGAATCGTAAAAAAAATAATGCAAACCCTTCGCTCAGTTCTGAGAGCTGAGTAAATCAATTACGTAATTGAAATATTTCCGCCCCCGCAAAGTGCACTAGAGACAATTAAAACAAATGGCAATCAAATCATAGTTTGTTATGAGACGATGGTTCAGTCATATTGATTAATGTGGCTTTTTAATGATCTTTGATCGTCGTATTAAACCCGGGCAAAATACCTATAGTTGAAATAATAGGATATAAATGATTTTGATGCCCATAAGACATCATTGTCTCTAAAATATTTTTATTGGAAGTTTTGTGAACTATTGTAAACGATTTTAAAGTGAAATCCGGTTGCATTTCACTCCGGAGCCTACATAGCTCCCGAAAAACCGGAGTGAAATAATATTGCGAGGGCGATTTTACCCTTAAACCACTCAAATGCCAATTCACACGTGCCTACCAATAAAATCGATTTTTACTGTCACTGAGAAAATTTAAGTGACGATGAATGTAGTAAAAAAATACAGATTCTAGTTTTTTGACCATAAGTTTCTCCAAATGTGTAGTGCTTATTTGATTACGAAATTGAGATGTTGACATGTAAATCTGTTTTTTTTTTTTCTTAACACAAAAACATCGTTTTTGAAAACGCCAAGCAGAAGGTCGTTCACGATTCCCACTCCGAATGAGATGAGCCACTTTCTCGAGTTTCCCATACATTTTAGCA